TCCTCCTCCTCCTCCCCCTCCTCCTCCTCCTCCTCCTCCTTCCTCCCACTCCTCGTCCCCCCCGTCTTCCTGCCCACCGGTCCTCGACCCTTCAACCATCCTTGCCTGCAACTGCTACGCGGCGACATCGTGCAGCGCGGGGGGACCTGAGGCTTGTGGTACCACACGCATGGGCTGCAGTTGCCTGAGGTCGGCGCCATGACTGCAGCGCTGCCACCCTCCCGGAGGTCACCCGCTGCCTCTCGCATACACACATCAACACTTGTTTACTCCGAGGCCGAGAGGTCCAACTCAGCGAGGGTTGATAGTGGGACGCGCTACAGTGCGATCACCACTGGACGTGTGACGAAGGGAGGGAGAGAGAAAGAGAGAGAGAGAGAGAAAGAAAAAAGAAAGAGAGGGAGAGAGAGGAGAAAATATGGAAAAGAGTAAGCCACACACGCAGACAAAGGGAGGGAGAGAGAAGAGAAGGAGTGACAGAAAAGGAGAGAGGGAGAATGTGGGATTCGGGCGGATGTCCAGGTCAATGAAGTCCACGCCCTCCGCAGATCCAGCCCGCTGGCCAGAGCAGCAGCGGTGTGGCGCGCCGCAGCCATGAGTGAACCAATGGAAGCCACGATCCCTAGGCTGCGTACGTCACTTCGGGGATCTACTGACCCGGGTCAATGCAAACCCGGGTCGATCGGGACTTGCAGGACCCTGCAAAACCCCGCGGGATCCTGCACGCCAGCCAAGGCCAGTGCACCCCTGCCTCTGCAGGATCCTGCAAGATCCCCGTCCCAGTGCTCCCGGCCATCCCTGGACATCTGCCGGCACGCTTTGGTCCATCCAAGGCCCAAGAGGCCCCGACCGCTTCCCCCCGGGCGCAGCGTGCCCTCTGTGCCAGACAGCAGTGCTGGATGGCTCCTGGGCCCGCAAGCGGCCGCCCCAGAGGACCGAGGCCGAGGACCCGCCGCCTGGGAAAAACAGATCGCCGGAGATCTGGACATTGTCTTAGGTCGGGCATGTCCCCTTACAGGCGGATTGGATCGAAAACTGACAAATACGCATCATAATAAAATACTCCAGATTTCGTTTTAGACCCCCCCCCCCCCGGGAGAACCCTCCAAGACATCGTCCCCAGACCCCCCCAGGCCCTCCAAGATGGCCTGGAAGAGACCCCCCTCCCTTTATTACGAAATCTGGAGCAATCAGAGAATCGTGCCCAGACTATTTCTTGACTGTCTCTGCGTACTCCTCCTGGAGGGGGACGCGCCCGACGCAAGCACAGCCGAAGCAAGGGCTCACGGGAGCGTGGGTCGAGAACGCGGGCCCCGCTTCGCAGAGAGAGCCCGAGGCCCCACGGAGATGCCCCAAACACGAACAGCTTTCCAAGGTGGAGGGTCGTCGTCGTCGTCGTCGTCGTCGTCGTCGTCGTCGTCGTCGTTTGTCATTCGTTCGTCCTTCGTCGTTCGTTCCAACGGCGAAGAACGCAAGGGTGCCCCTCCCAAGCTATGATTAGGCGGCGAGCCAGGGGGAGAACCCTCCAAGACATCGTCCCCAGACCCCCCCAGGCCCTCCAAGATAGCCTGGAAGAGACCCCCCTCCCTTTATTACGAAGTCTGGAGTGATCAGAAAATCGTGCCCAGACTATTTCTTGACTGCTTCTGCGTACTCCTCCTGGAGGGGGACACGCCCGACTCAAGCACAGCCGAAGCAGGGTCACAGGAGCGTGGGTCGAGAACACGGGCCCCGCTTCGCCGAGAGTGAAGGGGAACTGGAACGCACAAATAAATACACACAAATAAAAATGTCCCATATTTTCCCATATTTTCTTGGTTTTTGTCTTCCCCACCACTTCCCATATTTTTGCATATTTTCCTGGGAGTCGACGATTAATTGTGTCTGTGTGTTTCTTTCCCTCCTGAGAGAGCCCGAGGCCCCACGGAGATGCCCCAAACACGAAC